CCCCAAAACCCCAAAACCCCAAAACCCCAAAACCCCAAAACCCCTACAGGTGTGTCAATTATTGAAACTATATAAGAGGTTCGGGGAATTTATCCTCAACAGGTAACTGGGTCTTTTTCAATAAATCATAGATACGCATGAGTTCATACAATGTCGTTCTGAATTGATCTACATCGTTAAATCCAAATGTCCTCTCATTCTTCTTCTGCTTCTTCTTCTTGAGATTTACCAGAACTTTGTTCTGGAGATCACCGTCAAAGTACATATGGAGGAGATATTTCGCCTTATCTACCTTTTTGCAGGGCTCTAGGACCAGCTTTGTCAAAGCTTCAATGGGGTGGTACCACAATTTCTCATTGAATGAGAAGACTCTTCTGTTGAGACGGGATTTCTCACTCTTCATTTTGACGTTAAAAATGAAGATGTTGCTGAAGACCAAGAATCTGTTTTCAAATCTGGTACCAAACTTACTACCAGCTGTGACTTTTAAAGCATAGACGTGGTATTGGTAGATCTCTGGAGCTCTGATTTCCATTTTATCTTCAAAATATCTTTGCCAGCAGATAGCATTCTGTCTCTTTAGGATTGTATGGAACTTAAATGACTTCTCAGCGATGTCCTCCTCGTCTTTACTCAGGTGGATTACCACTAAAAAGTGAGGTATAGGCTTACTTCAAAAAGGAGCTTCTTTGTCACTCCTAGCTGTGGGGTAAAAGTTTAGAATCAGGTTGCCATCAGCAGGTCTATACATGAATGATTGGCCATGATCTCGGCTTTAGGCAAATACTTACGCAGTCTCGTTCATAGTCTGAATTTCAAGGTATGAGAATACCTCAAAGCTATTCTCGTTCTCTTCAGGGCCAATGAAGTAAAAATAATCAGTGGCTAGGAGTAAGGTTGCATCTACAAATCGGTCATCCCCTATTAAAGTTGCCTTTGTGTGGAGGATATACCTATTGGACTTCACGTTTAGGAGGTCTAGGAGTTCTTCTAGATGGCTCACAGCCCTAAATTCTCCAATTTTGACTGGCTCAAAGGTGGCCGTTGGAAAGACAATCTCTTCAGAATCGTCAAAATCTTGTTGATTTTGCTCCATTTCAGCCAAATTATATTAAAATTTATGCAAGATTTTAAAATTGTCTTGGGGTTTTGGGGTTTTGGGGTTTTGGGGTTCTGGAATTCCCAAACCACAATA